CCTGTAGCTTTTCGTCAGACTCTGTGAACGAGACACTCTCATAACACATCGAGTGACACGCTGCATCTGTATAAAGAAAGCCAATTCAGACTGTATTTCCTCAGGAGGCTCAGGTCTTTCAACATCTGCTGGACGCTCCTGAGGATGTTTTATCTTTTTATCTGGGGGCTGGCGCCTATCCTAGCTACCATAGGGTGAGAGTCTGTCGCAGAGCTAACACAGAGAGACAGGTAACCATTTGCAACCATTTGCAATGATGTGATATTTTGGCATTTTGGTGTGAGCACCCCTTGAATTCAAGCAGTCTCACACTCAAATCTGTACTGAATATCCCAATACTATGGACTCAGTGTTTGCTATATGCTACTTCTTTTCATTTATACTCACAAGTGATGTAGTAGCTGGTGGTGTAGTTGATAAAGACTTGTAGGAATAGTAATTGGTGGTAGTTGGTAGTAGTACTAGTAGATTCAAAGGTTAGAATTATAATGCAACTTGAGACGACTGCAATACAAATGGAACTAGACTGAATTTACTAAAATATGTATATTCACTAACCTAATGCTGGTGGGACAAAATGAGGATTGGCTCTAATCACCACCTCCAATGCTCACATTGATGCAAAATGTGTTAAAATAAATTAATATGGTAGCTACACTATCGACATTAAAACAAATGTTATTTATATAGTCTGTAGGATAAGCTTTCATTTTTAGACAATGTAAATGTCCAACAGCCCTTTGGAAATGCTTGATCATACCTCTACTGTGTCATGAACTGGCTGTGCGCAGCAGGCAGGATAGGATCCAAAAGCAGACTCACAGGCAGGGCTGACTCTCAAAAACACAACATAATTACAGGCGTACAGGTTATACAAAATGAAACAAAACTAGAATTTCAAAACCTAAATGTACAGCGAAACACACGAAGAAATACACATCCCTGAATGAGGGAGAATGCGACACTGGACTGAGTGAAACAGAGACGAGAGAGACATGATAGGCAGGGGAACATGTAATGACACACATTATTTATTTATTTATTTTTATATATATATATATATATATAGATAGATATAGATATATATAGATACAGATAGATAGATAGATAGATAGATAGATAGATAGATCCGCTCAGCTCCAGCCAGCCCAAGGGGCCTGTTCAGCAGCCTGTCTCCGCTGGAGGGTCTGAGGGGCCTGTTCAGCCATCTCCAGTCTCTGCTGAAGGGTCAGAGCGATCCATCCACCTGCTCCATCGTTTGCGGCTGCCACCCCATCGTCTGGTCCTGCCTTGTCTGGTTGTGTGGTCGTGTGGTTGCCGCCTCATCTAAGTGTCGGCGGCCACCTTCCAGGCTGCTGTCTGGACTTCTTCGCCGCCACAGACAGCCTTTGGACCTGCTTTATCATTGCCATCTTCTACGCGACCAGCCTCAGGACCTGTTTTGTTACCACCGCTGCCTTCCGCGCGTCTCTGTCGCTGGCCTCCGGGTCGACCACCTGAAATGCTTGGACTTCTGTGTTGTCGGCCTCCGGTTCGGTCACCTGAGCTGTCTCTGTGGACTCAATTTTGGTTATGGTCCGAGCCCTCCGTCTTGGACTCTCCACCACCCACATGGACTATAATCCACTTCAAAAATTCAAGTGCCAGGAAAACAGTAAGTCTTTTCCATCTTCATCCTGATATTCCAGATATGTAGTCCTCCACAGAAAAGGTTGTGGAGCATGATGGTGTGAGAAACAAGACAGGATTAGCTGCAGTGTCACAAAACTCCCTGGCTGTGGATTAGAGCACGGCAGTGCTGGAGGCACTGAGTACAGAACAATAAAGAGTTTTTATTTACAGAAGCACCAGTTGATCCATTTACAAAGTGGGGAAAAGACGGGGAATCCACACACAAACGGGGGAAAGACACTTGCAGTCACACACGCTCCAAAGACCACACTCCGTCCACGCCTCACGCTCCTCTTCACACTCCACAAGAAACACAAAAGCTCGCTCCAATCCTCACACACTTGATCTATGAGGTAGCACAGGTGCAGGTCCACGGAAATCTATTCACAGAGATACAAAAGGTTACTATAGGAAGATCACCAGGGGCACACGACAATAAACTGAGCTGGGGTTAACACTGACGAGAGTCGGCAACAGTCCAGCAACGAGAAACACAGAGCTGCCATCTTATAAAGGGACTGGAACACTGTTTGGTGATGAGCCACAGGTTTGTGGTTACGACCAAGTGCATGGTCCAAGGGCAAGAGCCCACAGGTGAGCTCCGCCCAGGCAGTGAGAGAAGGAGGGACAGAGCAGGAACAAAATCAAAACAAAAACACATGTAGTCACACTGAGCCGACCGGGTAGACACAGGGACCATGACAGTCTTTTACTTTTAAAGTGAATGTTCTCTTTTCCTTTACTGTGAGCATTTAAGTCAAAGCAGTTTTCGTCTTTGAAGTATTTACTTTTGCTTGGATGCTGGAATTTCATAGCACAAAATATACAATCACATAATTGACCTGGTCAACTGACGATATCCAAAGATGTTTGTATTTTGTGTTTGAACAGAGGCAGTTCTGCAGGATGTGATAAACACTTAGTCCTTTTCCATTGTGCCATTTTAAAAGTTTCCTTTTAATTACCATTCATTTTAAAAATCATTCATATTAAATAACATTTATATCTTTATTTTCATATAACACATATCAAATCCAAACTGCAAATTACTTCAAACAGAAATCATAAATCTCAAAAAGCGTAATGAAAGTATATTGCACGCAGTGAAGAGAATAAAATAAAATTTAAACAATTATTAAAATAAATAACAAAAAATATTTGAACTATACGACTTGAATAAAATAAAATGAGGATAGTAAAAAATAACATAGTACAAATTACTTAATTTTAGATTATAGCAGTGAAAAGTCAGGCTAACATTTTGCTTTTAAAATCTACTCCTAAGTTATTTAAAGAACAGTGAAGACAAAACTTCATTCAGCAGATGAAATGAAAATGTTCCAGAAGTTGTCAGTAGATGTTCATGTTGTGCCAGTAGAGGGCGCTGCAGTTCCACCAATCTGTGGTTTGCTGCTCATGAGTCGTATGATCATGTCTTCGGGCAGTCCGTTGGATATCAGCACATTTTTGATCTACAGAGGGGGAAAAATGAAGAGAGATATTCTCACGGATTTTTATTATACATGTGAGGGTTCTTTAGAAAGAAGCAGCAAAGGTTTTAAGAAACTGTGCTCACATAAACAGTTTTTATGATGAAGGGTGTGCCTGTGTGGTTTTGCATGTCTATCATGTGTGAACAGTTTAAGGTATGACCCCATACAGTCATTTCTCCCAGTGGGGTACTGTAGACCAGGGGCGTCAAATTCACTTTACATCACATTCACTTTCATCTAATGCGGGCCGGATCAGTGAAAATGTCGTGGTCCTGGGTCATGCGACCCAGTGTTTCTGAGTTTCATGTTGTTTTGTTATTTCATCTGTATTCCAGTTTATTTTCACTTATCTAGTTATTCGGCCATGCCTTGTTTGCAGTTTAGTTCATGGTTTATCAGGTTCTCCTTGTGTCATGTCTACGTCTCCATGTTTTACTTTGAAAGAGTCCATTATCTCCCTTGTTCATTGTATTTAGTTTCACTTCCCCTGCCCTGTCATTAGGTTCATGTGTGTCAGTTGTGGTCCCATGTGTGTCCACTTCCCCTAATCATCCCTGTAGGTATTTAGTCTGTATGTTTCAGTTCAGTCTTTGTCAGATCGTCTGTTATCGTCACCATAGTCAAGGTCATAGTGGTTTCATAAGTTTTCCTCTTTGTTTACACTGTGTTTCTTAGATTACTCAGTGTTCATAGTTTCTTCATGGTTATTTCACTGAGTTTCATATTCTTTCAGTTTACACAGTGTTCACAGTCTTTGTTGTTTTCTTAGTTTCGTGTTTTGCTACTGCTTACAGCCAAATAAAGGCTCGCCTTTTGTTAACTCCCACAAACTCCTCTCTGCGTCTGCTTCTGGGTCTTAAAAACAAACAGACCGGCGTACCCCGCTGTGACAGCAACTCTGTCAGTCTAAAAAGAAGTTAATTATTTTATTGATTTTTTTGGATGATAAAAAAACAATGCAGTGATGACAAATAAAAAAATTGTTAGCATTTCTGGACTTAAATTGGAAGAAATGACAACTCAGTCATAGAGTGGCAGACCATGTAAATTTACAGAGCAGGGTTATCAGATGCTGAGGTGCATAGTGTTAAAGGCACTGCATTAACATCTGCACAAAAACTGTGTACCTGGAGCTTCATGTCATGGGTTTTCTTGGCAGATCAGCTCCTGTATTTTTAATGCGTTAGTGACCCAGTGTTTTTGTCCATGTAGTGTAATAAGGAGCCTGCCCTCATTCCCTTTATCATTATGTGTCAGTGGTCATAATGGGTGTGTTTTAACTCAGACCACCATCTTTTCTCTTTTTGATAGATAAACTAACACAGAGGGTAAAGCAAAGCTCAAAACACAAAGTTCCCAAACTTACATGGCCAACACTATTTTAATCTTTAAAGCAGGATCTTTTGTTCTCTATATGCAGTATACAACCTGTGTGCTGAGTCAGCAGCTTTGTCAAAATGTCAGAATTTGGCACCCTGGGAATGAGAATGAGTTGGACAGTACAAGGATTTTAGAAATTAGAAGGACTGAATGGGCGCTGAAACAGATCCAAAGACTCGTTTACAATTCAGCCAGTAGCGTTTTTAGTGGGAAAAACGTTTAATCCAAGTAACTTTATCAGTCACTTGGATGAGTGAACAGGACAGGGAAGAACGCTGGTTTGCGCGGGGAGTCAAGGAGGTCTTTTATATGAAAAGGGAAAACTCTGAAACGAGGAGATCTTACATCATCATGCAATCACAGGATCTTACAATGCTGTGATTGCAGCCATTCCCCAACTCTCTGCGAATGGTACTCATATCCATTGATCAATGAGCATTAATCAGTGGTTGTTGATCAATGGTAACGACAATTTGCATATTAATGATCAAGGAACTGACTAGAGATGGCACGATACCACTTTTTAATGTCCGATACCGATTCCGATATCATAAATTTGGATATCTGCCGATACCAATATGAATCCGATATTTTGTAATCAATAAAACTTTTTTTTATAAATATCTTGCTGCATTTTGTAAAAGTTCATAATCAAGTTTTAAAAAACAAGAGACTGAAGCTATTCTGTCATACCTGTATGCAAAAAATACACTGCACCCAAAACATTTTATAGTTCAGCAATACTGATCAATCTAATAAATTTAAACCTACACCATCCCCCCTATTCTGGTATTTTTCTGGTATTTTAAAGAGTACTTAGTGGAAATATTAAGCAACCTAACTAATAGGGTTGCCAACTCCCAGCAAAAATATTAGGGAACCACCCCCCGCC